TAGAACTCAAAATCTACACTTCTGGGCTTGAATTCATCTTTCATTGAGAAAAATACACTTCACATGTTGCTAAACGGACAGTAATTAACCCCAGTCCTCTGTTTGCTAAAAGATCAGATTAAAGCACCTTCCTTTCTTGTGCTTAATGGGTGTTGTCTCCACAACGACTGTATGCACAACAGTGTTTTGACTTCAAAATCCATAAGATAACACATCTCCCGTCCACCAAGGGGGAAAGGAGATGTGTTTGACTATCCCTCTCCAAAAATGAAAATGAAAAGAAGGGATATTTACCTTTCTTCCCTCGGAGCTTTGATAGCTCAATTGCTTGTTTTCAGTGGCTTGTTATCACTTTTTCCAGTTGCTAGAAAGGCTGTTGGGTTTGTTGCATTGTGGCCCGGCTCTGTGTTGTCTCTGGCCTGGGTTTATTTGGCTGTCAGGGAAAGACCAAAGAACAGCAAAGATGCAGAAAATGGATCAAACCCTACGCCTAAAGACATAAAAGATTATTCTGCACCCCAGTGGGGGACGTTACAAGTCAGTTTGGTGTTTCTTGATGCTTAAATTGTGGAGGCTTTGGTGGTTAGAGGTCTAGTATAAAACTTATCAATGAACAAAAAGTTTATTTGTCTTTAAAGGTTGTAATGTTACTTTTTTGGGGTGTTTTTTTTAAAGTCCTCCTGGCTCAATCATCACTGTCCATCCAGTGGCGTCACTCCTGCCCCTTCGTATAAAACTGTCAACGCCTCTCACCTGGCCTGACAACTACCGCCCTGATAAAGCTGGAGAGAGCTGCAGCTTTTTTTGGCTGCAGAAAGGGGGGATTTGCCAGAGGTAACATTCGCACCTTCTTCTTCTTTTTTTCTTTTTTTTTCTCCATCGGGCCTTTTCCCCCCCTCTTCCAGCCGCATCGTTTCGACGCAAATAAGGTTACCCGACCTTTTATATTTTATGAATCTGGCTAATTACTCTTACTTCTCTGGCATGTGCAACATGACCGCAGAAAGCTCGCCCACCGAGGCAAGTCCCGTCGTGATGTCTCCCAACGTGAGCTTAGATTCCCCGCTGCCCCCCCTGATGCCGCAGGCCCGGTCCAAGGAGAACATTTTGATCAAATCCGAGCCCCGCGGGAGCAGTCCCGGCACGGAGGACGCGGGCGCCCTGTGCCAGACCGAAGAGCACCTGCCGTCGGGCAGCCGGCGCAGGAAGAGGCCCATCCAGAGGGGCAAGCCCCCCTACAGCTACATCGCCCTCATCGCCATGGCCATCGCCAACTCCCCGGAGAGGAAGCTCACCCTGGGCGGCATCTACAAGTTCATCATGGAGCGGTTCCCCTTCTACAGGGAGAACTCCAAGAAGTGGCAGAACTCCATCCGCCACAACCTGACCCTGAACGACTGCTTCGTGAAGATCCCCAGGGAGCCCGGCAGACCGGGCAAGGGCAACTACTGGACGCTGGACCCCGCGGCCGAGGACATGTTCGACAACGGGAGCTTTCTGAGGCGGCGGAAACGCTTCAAGCGCACGGACGTGAGCACGTACCCGGGCTACATGCAGAGCTCCAGCGCCTTCACGCCGACGCCCATGGGCCGGCCGTCGTACCCCAACACCCTCTACGCGGGGATAGGGTCGGGCTACGGTCCGCAGCTGACCGGGACCTCCCCGCATCCGGCCATGCTGCACCACTACCAGACCCCCGGGGGCGCGGGCGCGGGCCAGCCGCGCATGTTCAGCATAGACAACATCATCAGCCAGCAGCCCGGGGAAATCAACTCCCAGGCCCTGCAGGGGCTGGGCGCGGGCGACCTGCAGGGCGCCATGGCCTCCGGGTGCGCGGGGAGCGGGCCCGACGCGTCGGCGTGCTTCCAGACGCAGGCGGTCAACCAGCAGACCAACATGCTGTCCAGAAACAGCGGGAACCTGTCGTGCAACCTGGCCCCCGGGTACCCGTACTCCTCATCGAGCTCCCCCCCGAACCTGCCCTCCATGAGCCAGTCGGGGTTCTCCACCGGGGGCTCGCAGGTGTACTGCGCCGGGAACAGGCTCTCCCTGCCCGCCCTGCGCCCCGGTTCTTGCGCCGAGCACACGGAGCAGCTGCTGGGCCTCTCGGGGCCCATCAATTCCTTCAACAACAGCTACATGAGACAAGCCAATTTCCCGTCGGGATTAGAGCGGTACATGTGAGGTGAAATATGTCAAACTTATAGTGTTAAGGTGTTAGTAAAGAAAGACGGAATTGCGCTCAGAGACTGACGAACTGAACATGACCGAGCCTCAAGGAAACATTCCAATATTGATCATATTAATAAATAAATAAATAAAAGGTTTAAAGCCATTTAGGTCGACACATTCCATCACCATATTTCTTCATGTCTTATGTTGAGCTATGCTCCAGTTCCTGTTTAGGTTTTTGCTTTTTGTTTTGTCATTCGAATCTGATATTTTATTTTTGTTCTGTTATTTTTCATTGTTTTCTGATATAAAGATTTTAATAAAAAATAAGTGTCACTGTTGGCATAACACTGTAAATAAATGTTCTTTTTTATTTTTGAATAAATGTGCTCTCTTGTCATTGGAGCAAATGAAAAAGAGCAATTGGGAATTTTATGCGTACAATGAACAGTTTCCTCCTTTACAGCAGAATATTGATAAAAAATAAGGTATTAAATCGACCCATAAGAGTCAGTACGTATTTTTCCTACAAATTTAAATTATAGGCAGTAGAAAACCAACTGATCCCCATATATCGTATGTGAAAATCTAAATTTTCTAGTACCACCATGTCAAAGATCTTTAATTCCAAGTTTCGTTGGCCATTCTAAATACATTTATTTTAGTTGAAGTCGTTTTTGTACACCTGTGTGACTCTGGATTCACAACAATTGTGATTGAACGTTTGAAACCTATGAGCTTTACCTTGTCCAAAATAAAAAAGGAAAGTAAAAAGAAACGACAGTGAGAAACGTGTGAACGCCGAAGGCCAGTCTTTTAGAAATCCTAATTAAATAATACAAATGACCGAATATACCAGATGCAAACCATCAGTCAAATGGAGCGACTGTATATTGTAATTCCAAATCAATTAAGAAAAATTGGGCACTTCTAACGCTGGACTTACTAATAATTAAATGGATAAAAACCTCAAAGGCCCATTGTGTCTGTAAAGTTTCATAAAACTAACATGCGATTGCATTCATTTTACGTTGCTTTAATCTAAGTTGGGTGAGCACAAAGAGAGGAAACTATTCAAATAAAATGGTAAGAAAAAAAGCGAAGTGTAACACCATAGAAGACTTTATATATTTATTCATTTTTTGTTTGTATCTTAATAATATGGCACATAGAATTAAAAAATGATAGAACAATCACAACTTTTTGTTTGGTTTAGCTTTCTAGGGTAACTTTAATATAATGATGGCATCATATTGATGTTGTTTACACTCCTACAAAAATATTTAAATTGCCAAAACGAGATAAAAAAGCGGCATGTCCACATAATGTCTGTCTAAAGCGACAATCTTTAAATGTATGGAGCCAATGTATTAGAGCTGTTCAGCCTCATCCCAAAACATCTGAGTTATCGCTTTGGTTACATTGTTGGATGTTTTCTCCAAACCCCAGAGTTTTTCCTGAGGCGGCTGATATTGTTTAAATTAAATGAGTGTGTGAACAGTAATTGACTGAACGAAACAGAAATGTTAATGACGCTTCCTCGCCACTAGATGGCAGTAGGTCTGCATTTAAACCATGGAGGGTGGAGGAGGGGGGGCATGGGGGCTGG